ATCATCCAGTCCAGCTCCCCTGCCAAGGCAGGGTCAGGTTTGGTGTTGGCCAAGCCCTGTTGCCCTCTCTGGTCTAATTGCAAGTGTGAGCAATGCAGCCACATTGTTTTGCTGCTGAAAATGATGACAGTTTTCCCTCTCATTTGAGGCTGGCTGGATTGAAGGAGTGTTTTCCACTCCCCCAGATGCTCACTTCCTTCTCTGTCCCATATTTTCCACCCTGGGAAGGTGGAGTTGAAGATCTTTCTGTCTTCATACAGAAGAAAAGAGGGGTGCCTCTGGCCAGGATCATTCTGGGGATGGCAATGTTTGATCTGACAGAGAAGTCCTGCCCATCCTCATATCCAGCAGCCCCAAAATTCATTTTTAGCCATGGGAATTCATGCACCCCGGCGTGTGGCTGATTCCTCTCCCTCCCACCTGCGGTTTTCTCCGGTGGCACATCAGCCCCTGATCAGGCTGACTCACCTGAGCTGGCAAAAAGCAGTGCATTTGCAAGCCAGTGCAATAACAAAGCTCCTGCTGGCACATCGGGAGGTGTTGATGTGCTCCCGGGAGAGCTGCAGGGTGGGTTGAGCCAGTGCTGCCTTCGCTCTGCCTGGCTCCACTCAATCCCTTCTGCTTTGGGAAGGAGTGGGGACAGGATGAGTTAAGCCAGAGCTGCTCCACAGCCAAATCCAGCTCCCACAGATTCTGGGAAGGGGCTGGACCTGCGCTCTTGACACAGGGTGCAAAGGCACCGTGTCCTTTGCCTGGGCACCGTGTCCTTGCTCTGCTGAATGGCCTTTTCATCTCTGCTCTCCTCAGACAGGGCTGTGCTGTTTGTGTGGCCTCACCTCTCAGCGAGGGCTCTTCCCTCTGGCCTGAGCCTGAACTGGTCCTGCTCCATTTTCCTGACACAAGTACTGTATTTGGCTCGCTGAGCGCGTGACAGGATCGCTCCCTCCTTCCCAAAGAGCTTCCAGGAGGGATCACCCTCAGGAGGTGCCCACACCTGCAGCCTTACCCCCTTTTCCACCCTCCTGCCTGCCCAGGAGCCTGGCCAAGCTCCTGTGGGGAAGATGCTGGAGCCACTGGGCTGGCAGGGCTTTGTCCCCCATCTGATTTGTGCCCCCGGTCCTGCAGCCACCTGTGCCCCTCTCTGCCAGGCTGCCTCTCCTCCCTGTGCCTCCTGCCACCCGGTGAGGAGGAGGAGGGTGGCCAACAGCACCCCAAACTCGGGTGTAGCCCCCAGCAGGCACAGCCCAACCTCCCAGAGCAGCCCTGAGCTCAGGGCTGGTGGCAAGGGGCCCAGGGGCTGGGATTTGGGGACAGGCAGGGCTGGGCACATCCTGGGTGGGCATCAACCCTGCAGTGCCCAGCTCCTGGCAGGCTCCCACAGCCCCTCTGGTTGTCCACGTGTCTCTATATTCTGTAATGTGTATAAATCTCCATTACTGTGGGTGGGTGGGGGGCAGCAGAAGGTAGATGTAGCTGTGTCCATGCCCTGTCTATACCTTCACCTTTAAGGGATGGATTTTTATTTTTTTTTTTTAATTTGCTGGGTTTGGGGTTGTTGTTCTGTTGTTGTTTTTTTGTTTGGGTTTTTTTTTTCCCTTTTGTTTTCTTTTTTTAAGAAATAAAAAGAAACTGCTTGACTGGTTTCAAGCACCCTGGTGAACCCGTGTGCATGGCTGGTGGAATTCTGGGGTTCAGCTCTGGGGGTAAAGTGAGGCAGCTGAGTGCCTAAAAAAGCATTTTGGCATAAATTGTGAGGCTTCTTCAGCACCCAGAGCGAGCCAGGGGTTTGTGTGAACACTCAGCCCTGAATTAATTCTTCCCCGTGAAGGAAAAAGGAAAAGGGAAAAGGAAACAGGAAAAGGAAAGAGAAAAGGGAAAATGAAAGGAGAAAAGGGAAAAGGAAATGAGAAAAGAGAAAGGAAAAGGCAAAAGGAAAGTGAAATGGAAAAGGAAAGAAGAAAGGGAAAAGGGAAGGAGAACAGAAAAAGGAAGGAAAAAAAAAGGAAAAGGGAAAGAAAACAGGAAATAGAAAAGGAAACAAATGAAAAATGAAAATGACAATCAGCCCTCCTGCTGTGTCTGCATCACCCCTGGCTGCCACAGCCACAGGAGGGGCCAGGCTGGAGCTGCCTTGCCTGAGATTGGATAAGAAATCTCTGGCCCCCTGTAGCCCTCACAAATGTGAAATACACCCTTGTTCCCCAAACTTCCAAGGGTTTCCAGGGTTAAATGAGCCAGCAAAGCCCCCCCAGCCCATGGGGTAGTGACTCCCAGGAGCAAAGCAAAGATTTGTAAAGTGATTTTTAAAATTATTATTTTGGAAGCCCCTGCCCCTCTGGATCAATCTTGCCTGACTTTGCAAATCGACACTGTCTCTCCCCCCCAGCTCAAACTCTTTGAAGCACTCCAGAGCACTCTGTACAAGCCAAAGGTTTATTTGTTTCATAAACAAGTCAAATTATATTCATGGAAAACAGGTAAATGGACAAAAGGAAAACACACAGCACTGAACACTATAGAGCACTGACATGTAGAGGTGCAGCTCCCTCCCTCGTGCGATGCCCTCCCTCCCCAGGCCCCCCAAAAATTTGCTTGAAAAGCCTAATACAGAGGTCCAAAATCTGATTCAGCTTCAACAAGATAATACAGGTCACAGTATTGAATCATAAAGGTAACGACAAGAGAGGAACTGCCTCACAAAGGGGGAGAGGTAAAAGAGTTCCCCCATCTCTTTCCTTTCTTCCCTTTTTTTCTTAAATTTTCAAACAAAGGTTAAGGAGGAGAGGAAGGGAAAATCCATGGAAAGAAACACTTTGTCCCTCCTATATATAAATAGGAGTGAAAAAGGTTTCTCAGTGAACACAAAATTCTATAAAACTACCATTGATCTGTGTTGGTTTTCTCCCCCCATCTTTTATTTTTTTTTTTTCTTTTTAAAAGTTGCTTTAAAAAGGATAAAAAGTGCACAGACACCCTTATAAGGCACAAACAGATCTTCTGTACAAATCATATATCATTGGACTGTTTAAAAAAAATAGCAATACGAATACTAACAATGAAATCTGTAAGAGGCTACCTTTTCCTGGAAATATATATATATATATTTTTAATATTTTATATTTTTTTTTGAGGCCTATTTTGGAAAATTCCTGTTGCTCTTGGATAGGCAGGGCCACAGGTCCACTGCTCTCCCATCCCACTCGGTTCCCTTGCTGGCCTCACTGGGTGCTCCCCCTTCTTGCAAACTGGTTTTGGCTGCTACAGCAAAAAATTCAGCCTCTGCAACGTGTCCTGAACAGCTCCTGGGGTGGATTCGGTGTTTCTCCTTGCTGGCTTAAAAATACAAAACAGAGCTACACCAAAAAAACCCCACCCAGGCTGCGCCCACCCTACTGCAGTGACCTGAGGGCACCCCTGCAGCTGGGACAGCAACCCTGGGGATGGCCCAGCCCTGATCCAGGCTGGCAATTCCAGCAGCTTTCCTTCAATTCCTCCCCATGGAAAGGCTTTTCACTGCAGGCTGTGCCCCTGGTGCTGTGCCCCTGTGCTGTGCCCACTGCCCACAGCTGGATCTGGCAGCGTGGGGCTGGGAGATCCCTGGGAATGCAAAGCCTGCATTCCCTGGGGTGAAGGACAGCTGGGAGCTCCAGGAAAGTTCTGGATGCAGGGAATGTGCCCTCCTCGGGGCAAGGGGAGAGTGAAAGGGGCAGTGGCTCTGCTGAGGGTGGTGGCACAGCCAGTGGCATCAGCCAGGTCTCCAAAAAGGGCTCTGCAAAGCTGTTGGGCCCTCGTGCAGGGCCATGGCTGAGAGGTCTCGCTCCACAGCAGCCTCTCGTGGATACACTCAATAAAAATGGGCACCAGCTCTCCAAGGGAAAAAACCAAAAGGTTTCTGGGTGCCCTGGGAGCACAGCCCGCTGCAGGAGGAGAATGAGGGATGATCTGCTCCCTGTGTGTGCCCTCCCTGATGGCAGCGTGGCACAGGGCTGGCACAGGCCAGGACATAAACCCAGCTCTCCTGGCACAGCCAAGACACCACTTGGGCAGCAGCACCACGCACCCACAGCCCTGGGGGAAAGAGGGAATAGCCAGACATCCCTCAGGCTCCCTCTGTGCCCAGAAGCCCTGAAATGTACAGGAATTGTTCTATTTTTTCCTTTTTCTGGACTAAAATGTGGTAATTGCACCTTTCTGAAAAGCTGTTCTTACCCACTTGGTGGCACACGGTCACGGAGCTGCAGTGACAGAGCTCCTCTCATCCTCCCATTTCCATCTTTTTTTCCCCTCTCTGTGAGCCTGGACCAGCTGGAAACTGGCCAGGAGGACAGGACAGGGGCTGTGCCATGGGCAGAGGACGGAGACTGGAGCAGCAGGGAGGAGGATGCTGAGCTCCTCACCCCAGCCCTGGTGCTGCACAATCAGGTGCTGCCTGTAGCTGACATTACACCCAAAACCCGTTTACTTTTTAATTCCCACCATCTAATTCAGCCTCAGAGCCTTTTTTCTTTCCTCCTAAGTAAAGCCAAGTGAGATAGTCCCTGTTTTTCCTCAACAAGGTCTCATCTAGAGTTGAGACCCAGTGTGCAGGCAGCTGGGAGCTGTGCTGGGAAACCTGCAAAGGCTGGAGAAAGAAAGGTAAAATCAGCATATACAGTCCCCAGAAATAAAGGTGAGCCTGATGGGGACTGGGTCAGAAATGAATTTCTCACCAGAGCCTCCAAAAAGTCCCCGTGGTGGGGCGGGAGGAAGGCTGAGCCCTGCCTGAAGCAGGGGAAGGTCTGGCACAGGTGACAGTCAGGACCGGGTGCCACCTGCCAGGAGGGCAGAGCGAAGTGCAGGGGGCTGTGCCTGGAGGTGACAAACCCCAGCACTGCAGTGTCCCAAGCCAGGAGTGCAGTGTGCCCATCCCAGCAGCCCTGTGCTCCACAGGCTGCAGTTTATGGCTTCAGAAGGCAGCAGAGAGCCTGAGCTGCCTCTCCCAGCTCCCTGCAGCTCCGTCCCTGCAGGGGCTGCCTGGGCTCTGGGTGGGCTCCTGCTCCTCACAGCTACCCCAGGGCAGCTCCCTGCTCTCAGCCTCCGTGGCCAGAAGTCCCTGTTCTGCCACAGAGAGAAAAATCTGTTTTACCTAAGCCCTGACCAGCTCCTTCATGTCCCCAAGAGCCTGTTCACGGAGACAGAACCCCAATAAGTGACAACCTGGCCGTGCCACTATTTGGCCTGAGCTAATTCTCCTTACCTGACATTTCCACATCAGTTCTGTCCACTTGGAACCCTCCCGCTGGGCCTCGCCCCAGTTTTGCTCCACCACAGCACAAATCCCCTGGCAGCAGCCCAGAGCTGTTGTGTTTTAGGGTCGGGAAGCCCGGTGGCACCTGGCACTGCCCAAGTGGCAACCTCCCCATCCCGACCCGCAGCACGGCGAGCCTCCCCCGCAGCGGGAGGAGGGAGAAAAGAGCCTTTGCACGGGAAATTTCTCATTTGCAGCTGGCTCGGGCCCCGCACGATCCTCAGCTTTGCTCCCTGAATTGTGCCCTACCAGTCAAATAAGGAAACACAGATAACGAGCCACTTGATAACGACTGACCAGCACGATAACCCATAAGCAGGGACGGAAAGGCGTGGTTTGCTAGCGGCGTTCCCCCTTCCAGCAGCCCCCTACGGGCGGTAGATTTTAATCACATCTTTGATAACCCGTCGGCAGATGGGGCAGCAGGCGTTGAGCTGCTTCTTCAGCTTAAGACCACAGGTGTTGCAGAGGCACATGTGTCCGCAGGTGTAGATCACCGTGTCCACCTCGCTGTCAAAGCACACGGTGCACTCCCCGTTCTTGCTGCTCGATGGCTCCGGGGGGGAGAAGACAGGAGAGATGGGGGGGCTCAAAGGGGAGCTGGGGGCAGTCACTGCAAAAGAGGAGGGTGGTTTAGTCACGGGGATGGGGCAAAGCTCACCCTGAATAATACACTTAAATCAGTTCTGAAGGCTCTCCTTAGCCACTGCCCGGTTCTTTGGCCAAGTGAATCCCGGTGAATTCCAGCCAGAGCCTTCTCTACACATGGGGCCACATCCTCACATTTTTTGAACTCTTGTAGGGATGGTGATTCCACCACTTGCCTGGGCAGCTTGTTCGATACCTGACCACCCTTTCCATAAAGAGATTATTCCTTGTATTCAAATTAAACCACTCCTGGTGCAATTAGATGCTGTTTCCTCCCATCCTGTCCCCGTTCCCTGGGAGCAGAGCCTGACCCTCCTGGCTGTCGCCTCCTGGCAGGGACTTGTGCAGAGCCACAAGGGCCCCCTGAGCCTCCTTTTCTCCAGGCTGAGCCCCTTTCCCAGCTCCTTCAGCCCCTCCTGATCCTTCCCCAGCTCCGTTCCCTTTCCTGGACACTCTCCAGCCCCTCCATGTCTTTCTTGTCATGCCCAGAACTGGACACAGCAGTCGAGGCACAGCCACTGCAGTGCCCAGCACAGGGAACAGTCCCTGCCCTGGTCCTGCTGGCCACACTGGTGCTGATCCCACCACTGCACAGCCCTTCTGCAGGCCGTGAAAACCTTCCCAGCACTGTTTCCTCCCCATTCCTTCTGCTGGCCTGGCAGGAGAGGCAGCCCACAAGGGTTGGCTGTCCTTACCCAGCGAGGACTCGGAGGCTGATGAGGACCTGTTGACGCTGAAGGCCATGTCCGAGTCGCTGTCGTACTGGGAGCCCCCGGGGGATCCTGAGGGAGACACGGTCACTGGGCTGGACTGCACCGTGCCTGGAAACACAGGAGAGAGCTGAGCCCACGCAGGGACACCCCAACCCCGGCCAAGCCCCCTCAGCCTGCCCAGCTGCTCCCACCCCACCTGCGCAGGGGCCTCAGAGCGAGTGCAGCTGCTGAGTTAATGCTGCCCCTCGGTGATGATACAGATCAAGATTTGGGATGTGACCCCAGGGTCTGGACCTCATTATGCCTTTGTATGGTGCCTGTTGAGCTTCAGTGAAGCAAGCACCAGGTGATCCAATATTTGCCTTTCCATTCCCCACAATCCCACTCTCCCCAGCAGCAGTGGGCTCCAGCTGTGGCTGTCACACTGTCAGCTGGGAAAGGCCATTGCTTTGGATGGAGAAAACCTGCTTTACAAAGTCATTTACATCTGTTTTTCTGATAGAATCCTCAACAGAAGGAAAGGAGAAAGGCAGCAGTGATCTCCTGATCCAGTAGTGGATCAGAAGTGCCAGCTGATCCCCAAGCTGTTGCAGTGCTTCAGGAGCAATTACTGCCCATGCTTAAACCAGAGCCATGCTCACAAAAATCATCCTTAGCAAGGCAGTTTAATACCTGTTGGCTGGAATATGGAGTTTATAAAGAATCCCTTCTAAAATCAAATCCACTGAAAAACAGCTGCCCCCCACAGCCATCCCTGTTTATAAAGAATCCCTTCTAAAAACAAACCCACTGAAAACCAGCTGCCCCCCACAGCCATCCCTGCCTCCCTGCCTGCTGCTTGTTTTATCTCTCAAGTTTCATCCTTTCCTGGGGGAACCATAGAGGCTGCACACATCTCTGTGACAGGTACCATGTTTTGTCCCTCTTGTTTACAAACACAAAGAGCTGCACCCTCACAGCAGTGAACACAGCGAGTGCAAACCCAGAGCTGTGGTTCTGGCCCAGGAAACTTCCCGGGTGCTGTGTTGGCTGCACTTACCCAGGATTTTGAGCTGGTTGATCACACCATGGATTGTAAAAAACACCCAGAGGGACTGCGAGGTGTCCACGCACATGAGCATTCCCCGGCTGGCCCCGTTGACCCCGTGGTGCACCTCTCCGTTGGGCAGGACCATGAAGCTGAGGATGTCGCCGCTGTTGAGCACCGGGAACGCCCGGTAAACCACCCAGTACTCCTTGCGATCCAGGAGAAAGTCCGGATCCGCCGGGAGCTCGTTTGTCCGCAAAGTGCTCGGATCACAAGAGGTGATGCCGAACGAGAGGGCCCCGTAGTACGGCAGCCCGAGGTGTCCTACTTCCACAAAGAGGCTCTCCCCGATGTGCAAAGGCCGGTCAGAGAACACCAAAGTCCTATTGCTCTCCTGCCAGTTGGTGCAGGCCACCATCCTGTCCTGGGAAAAGGTGATGTCGGGGCCGCGGGTGGGGTGGAACCGCAGGTCGGTGTCCAGGAAGGCCGGCACTCCCTGGGCGTGCTGCCGCCGGTTGGGGCAGCAGGGGATGATGTGGTTGTCAGTCCCAAGTCCTGGAACCCGGCTTAGGTTTAGGTTTGCGATTTTGGCCACCACTTGGTTGTTCTCGAGCTCGTTGTTGTTGAAGTTGGCCGAGTCGTGGTTGCTCTGGGGAAGGCAGGTGCTGAGCCGGGCGGTGCTGAGCCGGGCAGTGGTCATGGTCTCTGCAAACATGCTGTCTGTGAGAGAAACCCAGGCACAGAGGCGTTAGTCAGGAGAAAACTGCCTGCTTTTCTGCTTACTGCTATTATTGCAGCCTACAGACTCCACAAGGAAAAAATCAGCCATGGGTCAAGCACTAATGAACAGCTCCTGGTGCAGAGGCACGCGTGGAGCAGGCAGAGGAGCGGCTGCTTCTTGGCACCAACCAAGGAAAAACAAGAGTTCCAAAGTACTCGTGTGATCTGGGAGTTCCCTGCACTGGGGAATGGGAAAAGCTGTAAACCAGTGTGGTCCTACAGCTTTCTGAGAAGGATCTGATAGCTCTGAGGTTACACTATTTTAAAAAAGAAAAGTCTCAATATTTTCTTGTCCCAGGGTCTTGTGCCAGACAAATCCACAAGTGATGGCTGAAGGAACTCAAGGATAAATGGATATTCTGTCCACACTCCTTGTCACTGCCTTACACCTGTGTCCAGGCACAGGTGTTTCCAAGAGAGGTCATTTCAAGCCTCGTATCTCAGGGGTGTTCACAGCGCTCCAGAGGTTTTGAATGGAGAGCTTGTCACAAAAGCTACTTCCTGCAGGTGTTAGAAAGCTTTTACAGCAGAAGGTTGTTTTCCCTTTTCACAGTGAAGGGAAAGTCAGGATGTTGATCCTTAATTAATTTCCCAGGTTTTCACTTCAGCCATGCCAGGCCTGGGGGTGATGTAAAGGCATGGGAAAGTTTGGGAGTCTCCTCCCTTCTACCTCCAGCCCTGCCTGGGACAGCCTGGACGTGGAATCCAAGAGTCTGTGTGAATGACTTTTGATCTTCCTAGAGATGGAGAGGGGTGAAGCAGCCCAGCACAAACACTGCTCCTCCTTGGAGGAGAGAATCCCCAGGCAAAGTAGGAAAAACACCTAAATCCACCCAGCAGCTGCAAAGCAGAACCTGCCTCGCTCAGAAGCCCAGGCAGGAGAGGCCAGTGGGGTGGGCTGATGGCTGGAGCAGCTCCTTTGCAGCCAGCACAGCTTGTGAGGCAAGAAATGCTCCCACAGAGGAATCAAACACATCCAGGTTTCATAATGGATGTCCCATCCCTGGAAGTGCCCAAGGCCAGGTTGGACAGGGCTTAGAACAACCTGGGATAGGGGAAGGTGTCCCTGCCCATGGCAGGGGTTGGGATGAGATGATCTCTAAGATCCCTTCCATTCCAAATCCTTCTGTGATTCACGATGCTGAAAGACGCATTTTGTGCCTCAGAACTGGAGTTGTATTTCACAATTTTCTCAATTCCCAACATTTTGGGAGGCAGAGACAAGCACATCCTCAAGCAAGGAGTTCAGGTCTCCTGGTGCCCCAGATGGCTGAGCATGGCCCTGATTTCTGGGGCAGTTTGTGGGGTTTGGTATTTTAATTTTAAAAAATCCCTCATCAGAGTACAGGTGCTCTCATCCCGAGCCTTTCACTGGGAACTCTTGGATGCTGCAGGCAGGACTGGAGGTAGGAAGCAGAAAGAAGCTGCATTTTATTTTTCAAACTCCAATTTAATGAGGAGAAAGGAGAGCTCTGGTGAAGCAGCTGCCTTGGCCAATACAGCAAGCACTCCTCCTCTGTGACGAGCACCAGAGGCTGGAGTGTGTCGCAACTGCAATTACAGGACAAGCTGCTGGTGAGGTTTAATTACACATTTGAGGCACAGCAGACAGGGAAAAGCGTTGTTTATGTGTGGCCTTCTCGCCTGTAAAGTAATTGGCACCGTTCAGAAGGATGTGTGATGGAGCTGCCTGCCCTCTGCACGCGCCATTCCACAGCTTATCCCTGGTCCCCGTGCCAGGCTGGCAGCACCATCCCCTCGGGCAGGTGCAGCTGGCTTTGGCTGTTAAAACTCCATCAGCTTCAAGGAGCCTCTGGGAAAGGGCAACTCTTGGATTTTAAAAGAGCTCCCTGTGGTGTAGCCCAGTTCAAACACTCCATCTAACGCTGCATTCATTAGAAATTTCAATGCTGTCAAAGCCACGAAAGGAAAATCATTCCATGGCCATCAGCTGGGCTTGCTAATGGGAACAGACAGATCCATCCCCTCTTGCTGCCTTCCCCAAGGATGAGGCTGTAAATCAGCCAGGCTCCACCTGATTCCAGGGGTCTGAGTGATGTCCTCTGTGCCAGGGAAGGGTCACCATGCCAACACAGCCCCTCAGACTGCCAGCCGGGGTGGGAGCACGGCCAAGAGCGGAGAGAGGGGCTGGGGAAGGGCTCCAGGAAACTCTTGGGCAATTACTGGGAGTTTTCCAATGGACTGGCAGCAATTGGTAGCTGGGAAAGAACAAAGTCACAACTGGTTCGTCTCCTCAATCCCTGGGACCTTGCTCCATGTTTTTCCATGCCAAAGCAGCACATCCAGCTCAGAGAAAGCTGAGTGGAGCTACAGGCAAAGATTCCCATTTATCCCATCCCATAATGTGCAGCCTTAGGGCTTCCCACCACTACCAGCTCTGGAATATATTGCTTTCTGCATCCCTACTGCTGGCAGAAGAAAAAAGATTAATTAGAAGTATAAAACCAACAGCAAATTAATTTTCTTAAATAGAAATAATCATAGAAATAATCACACAGATCATGCATCTTTCCTACAGGATCAGAAAGAGCAACCAGAAGAGCAGCCCCCAGGCCCAAAGAAGCACTCACCTAGAATTTGCACTTCGTGGGTAATTCCATAGACGTCTATGAGGGCCCAGAGAGGCCCGGAAACTTTAATACCACAGTGAAACAAGATGGGCTCCTCGTCATTAATACTGTAGAAGACTCTGCCGTGCCGGTCCACCCAGAAGGCCAAGATATTGTCCCTGACCGCAAACCTCTCCGGCAGAGCCTTGGCCCAGTAGCCGGGGCGGGTGACGAGGTCGGGGCAGGCGTACTTTGGTATCTCCTCGGAGCTCATCTGCGACGGGTCGTGGATGGTGAAGCCGAAGCGCAGGGCCCCGCTCCAGCCGTGGTGCACGGCCACCAGCTTGAGGCGCACCTTCTCGTACAGGTGGATGGGCCGGTTGGTGAAGGTGACGCCGTTGCAGAAGCTGTTCCTGCGCGTGGCCTTGCGCGAGTGCGCGTCCAGCCGCACGTTCTTGCCCTTGGCCTGCGAGTGGAAGCGCGGCGGCTCCGCGACAGCCAGCACCGAGCGTCTCTCATGGCTGCTGTTGGGCAAGCTGTAGTAGGGCCGGCTGGACACCGAGCGGGTCTGGTGGCTCGTGTCTGCCAAAGGACAAAGCACATCTGTCAGGAGGGCTCGCCACAAGGTCTTGGCTCAGCTGGGTGTGATTTGCACCGCTCTGCCAAGACCTGTTTCACCTTAAAACGGCACAACCTGCTCTTTGCCGTCCCAGCTTTCCATGGAAACGCGTCGAGCAAAGGCTCGGCAGCTTCCCTGCAAAGCTGGGTAGGAAGGAACATCCCTTGTTCCCATCGGATGCTTCCCATTGCCCTCGGAAAAGCTCAACACCTGCAGCTCCCAGTTTCCTCCTTGCAGTGCACGTGCTGTTAACTCACATGGTGGCCAGAGACAAGAGCTCCGAGGATTGTGGCTGTTAAAAACCACAGATGCTCGAGGTGAGTGTGGGTTTTAGGAGATTTTGGGGGGGACATGCAGCCACCAGCTCCTCTGTGCCCTGATTTTGTAATGATGAACAGGAGCTTTTGACCAGCAGAAATAATCCAAGACATTCAGCAGCTGGAGCACCTCTGCAACACCAGACTGTTCTTCCTACACCTCCAGCCCAGCCCCTGGCTCAGATATCAGATGCAAGTGGCACATTCAGGAACATTTCATCCTGCACAGCCTTGCCTTTACCCAGAACCTCCCATGTGAGCTCAAAGCACTTTATAGATGATGATTGTTTTCAGCTTCACAGCACCGCAGATGGCACAGAAATCCTGCCATCCTCGTTTTACAGATGGGAGAAGGAGAATTGATGGGTGAGATCTTGCAGCATTTAAAGTCAATAGCAATTCTGAGACCGACTTCAAGAAAAGCAGATTTGGGGCCTAAAGTGAAGTTCACACAGGCATGAAGCAGAAATGAAAAAAAAGCTCAACTTTGAATCTTAAACCTTAGCTAGAAGCTCCCTGAGGGGGAGACAATGTCTTTTGCATATCCCTGAGCACATGGGGACTTGCTCCAGGTCCTGGGCTCCCACCACCACCATGGTCTTCCAGGGAATTTGGTCTCCCCATTCCCTGCCCACTCCACCTCTCCTCCTGTCTCTGCACCTGGCTTTGTAGATTTTTAGAGCAAAAATGGAACACATCCTGAATGCCCAAAGCCATCATGTTAAATATAAAAGCCCATCACATGCTCATCATCCTGAACTCTTTTGCCATGTTTGAAGCTTCAGCAGCCGCCTGCCAAGCCCTTCCTTTAAGCTGCTTCCTCCCTGTGTGCAACCCCAGGCTTCGCTTCGTGACAAGGGAAGGATTTTCTGTCATTTTCCTCTGTTGGAAAAAACCCACCAGAAGATCCTGGGAGCTCAGCTGGGTGAGCTGGCAGGAGGGCTGCAGTGGTGGTGATGTTTTTTGCAAGCAAAACCAGAGCAGACAGGGCAGCAAGAGGCTGGGACCTGCACTAAGACACTGAGCAAAGAGAAGAGAGGTTGCAGCAAGATCTGAGCACAGGATTAGCCCTTCAAATCAGGCATCTGTAGCAGGAGTCAAAAGGATATGAAGGCAAAAAGCTCCTGTTTGCAGCAAGATATAAATAACGAGCAAAAGGTGTTTTGTCTCTTGGTTTGTCCTGCGCGTGACAATCACTGTGCAATGGTTAATCCTGTCAAACACCAGTGGAAATTAATAAATCCTTGCTCTCAGCCAGTGAGGGGAGGGTGCCAGTTCCATGCCAGGGCTGTGGAAAAGAGCCCTGGAGCAGATGGGGAAGGGAAAATCCTCCTCAGGTGTTGAGTGCCCAGCCCAGCCCCTCTGCTCGCAGCAGCACTGCAGGCCAGGCATCCCCCAGGCCTGCCCCAGCACAGCAGGGCTCCCCAGGAAGGAGCATTTCTTTATGTATTTCCAGGAGAAATCTCATTCCTTGCCTGCTGAAGAGCTAAAATGCAGAAATGGCTGCTCCCAGCACAACCCACCCGTGGCTCATGTGGGTGCTGCTCCATGTGTGCGCTGTCAGCGCTCCCAAAAAACAGCACTGCTGCAAAGGGAGCGTGGATGGGGGCTCCTGAGCAGGGACCCAGGCAGCACAGGGCAGGGTGAAGCCTCTCCTGGCCTGGCCTCCCCACACAGCAGCCCTTTTTCCATGTGGGAAAAGGCCTTTCCATGTGGGAACTGCCTTTGTGCCGTTCTGGGTCCAGCAGAGCTGGGACAGACCCCAAGGGGCTCCTGCAGGACTGGGTGGGCTCAGTGCCACCTCACACCCTGCCTGGCTGGGCAACAGCCTCCCCAGGCAGAGAAACCCTCATTTTATAACCCACTGAGCTGCTTTTTGTTTCTGAAATGGTTAAAAACAACCCCCCTGTTGCTGCCAGTGCCACGGCCTGACGTCCCCACATGGGCCAGGAGGAGAACGGAGGGAAGACAGATTTTGTTCTCCTCTCTGCTATCCCCAAAATCCCCTCTTTTCCAACCCCAGCCTTCCTCCCACAGCCCCTGATGGAGAAGAGACTCCTGTGAGGGGTGTGGGCCCCAGGCAGCTCCTCATGCCCCTCTCAGGAGGCCGAGGTGGCAGTGCCAGTGCCACCAGCATGAGTGACAGGACAGCGAGGACACCAACACAGCTTCAAACACAGCTTTGTGTCCACCCTGCCAGAGGGGCACTTGGGGTCTGGCGCTTTTTGTTTTGTTTGTTTTTTATTGTTTTTTTTTTAAAAACAACAACAGGAAAGCATATTGTGGCTAAACAATAGGGGGAAAAAAATAGGATAATTTATTTATAACGCTGTATCCCCTCTTCACATGAACACCTGCCGGTGGAATAAAGGCTGCCGTAACCCGAGGCAGGGAGGCAGAGTTTTCCCACTGAAACACTCCCGGGGCTCAGCTGGGACATGTGCTTTACTCATCAGGTGCTGACGGGGACTCTCAAGCTCAACAGGATGTTTGTGCCTTTCAATTGTGCCTTTGAATTGCCCTAATTTACAGCTCAGCTTCCCCAGTTTGGATCACGCTTAGGTCCCTCTGCTGCTGCTCCAAAGCCTCTCCCGACTGTGCCTTCCCACCCAAAAGCTGGGATGATGACAGCCAAGCTGGTGGCACAAGTGCCACCCTACCCCAGGGTGCCTGACAGGCAGCGAAGAGCTACGCCAACTCTTTTTTTCTTTTTTTTTTTTTTTCAGCTGTGAGATTCCTACAACACTTGGGAGCAAGTCATTCCTTCTCTTTCTGCCTCGCTTCCCCGTCTAAGAGAGAGTAACACCATTCCTCCACCTCACGGGCAGCTAAAAGGATTGAAAAAGGTTCTCAAAGACGTCAATCCCTGAGCCCTGCGAGCCTGGCTCGTCACAGGGGACACAAACCCACTGAGGGATGCCTTGAGGTTCCATCCCTCTTTTTATTCCAGAGTTTTCCATTTTTCATCCCCACTCTCACCGCTTTCAAACGTGACACTCGCAGCGCACGCCTCAAACGCACGAACAAATACAGAAGGCAGGAGAATGGAAGGAAAGGCTGAACTGAAGGGTGAGGAATGCTCTGAGGCTCCTCTCTGAAACATGAAGGATAAGCCCTTTTGGCAAGGCAGCATTTCCATCCACATCCCTGTGGTGTCAGATGATACTGAGGCCGATTTGGGTTCTGGGGGTCCGTGCTTCACCTGCTTTCCAAAAGGCCAGCGCACTCATTCCCGAGGTTATGCTGACCTTTGGAGCGGTATTTTAACAGACATGCACTTTGCATTTCAAAAAGGTACAGCAGGCAGACCCTGGACAAATTCCACATATTTATCATGGTTCCAGTTCTAAAAATAAACATTTTTTTATTTTTTTTTCACCCATTTGTTCACAGCCCTGGGTTTGCAGTGGCACTGTAATCCCACTGACAGCAGCAGACAAAATTCAGCTCCGAGCCCTGTCTGAGGCTGCTGCTCTCCCAGGGGCGTGGGATGGAGGAGGCTGCTCAGCTGGGGAGTGACCTCTAAGCCAGATCAATCCTGTCTTCACTTGCCCTGACAAGCCAGGCAGGAATAATACCCCTAAAACGGGGCAGAAGGGAATAATGTTGAAGGAGACCAGAGCTACAGTGAGAGCAGCCTGACAGGAGGAGGAGGAGGAGAGCGTTGCCATCCTCACGCGTCACCAGTAAATCCATGGTCTGCACCAAAGACATTCCCTGGTTCCCACAGCCTTTTCCTGAGGGCCTTTCCCAAGTAAATCCATGACAAAAGACCCACAGGATCGCAAGGGGCAGTTTGGTGCCAAACAGTGCAGTGGATACAGACAGGGAAAATCACTGGGACCATCCACAGCTTGCAGCAGGCACAGCCCATCATGAGGGAGCATCTCCCCTTGGTCAGAGAAAGGCTGACAGGTTCAGAAAGAGCCTGGAGGGTTCAGAGAAAGGCTGAAAGGTTCAGAGGATGGCTGAAATGTTCAGAGGATGGCTGAAATGTTCAGAGGATGGCTGAAATGTTCAGAGGATGGCTGAAAGATCCAGAGCATGGCTGAAAGGTTCAGAGAATGGCTGAAAGGTTCAGAGGATGGCTGAAAGGTGAAGAGGATGGCTGAAATGTTCAGAGAAAGGCTGAAAAGCTCAGAGGAGAGGCTGAAAAGCTCAGGGGAGAGGCTGAGAGGCAGCAGCATGCATCCTGAAATCCATCTCAGGAGCCTCAAGCCCAGCAAAAGGGACTCCACAGAACACACCCACGGCTCATCCTCATGGATTCTGCTTTATCTGCAGCCCTGGAACCTCCTCCTGTCCCAGCAGATACTGGGGTGGCTGCTGCTGCTGCTGGACATTGACCAAGGTCCCTGCAGACAGGGGACAGGTGGCTTTTGCTTTGTGACAAGAACACCCCGACAGAAGGGGGCAAGAAGGGCGAGTTCACGGCGAGCTGGTGGGACCAGCCCAATCCCAGTGAATCCCAGTGTGCTCCAGTCAGAGCACAGCCCCATCCCACGGCATCCCCACTGCTGGAGCCACTGGGAGGCTGGAAGAGGCAGGGGAGGCTGATACCAAACATCCCCAGCAACACCAAACAGGATTCTGCTCCGGCAAGATCTTATCTTCTGAGGACAAGAGATACAAATCTGCTCGCATAT